TCCATTATCACAAAATGAAATCTTTATCTCCCCTACCCAGGTTTTTGAGTTAGGCCTTTTTTGTCCTGATAATACCACTAATCAATATGTTGCTATATGGTATAACAATATTGCTCCTCGTACAGCTGTTTGGGTGGCCAACAGAGAGAATCCAGTTATTGATTCATTGGCAAGTCTAAAGATTCGAAGTGATGGAAATCTGAAGCTTGTAGATGGGAATTAAGTTATTAACTCTCTGGTCAAGCAAATGCATATGTAAAAGGCATAGGGTGTCTGCTGTGGAGTGGAGTGAAGACATATGCAAGAGTTCTCCAGGGTGGGGAAGATCTTTTCATTCGTCTTGCATCCTCAGAATTGGGTGACAATAAATAATTGGCTTAAGCAATATTTTCAAAATGAATTTAGTTTCTTCTCCCTTCTTTTCTTTTTCACTTCAGAATAGCTGATTCATCTTTATTCATTTCATTATTCTATCTCCTCATTTTTCCCCTTCAGTATTTTCAGCTCATGGGAAGCTAAGAGTAGATCTCATTATCAGCCTCACAACGGTTTCTTGTATCATTATCTTGGGTGCCTTAATCTATAGTTTATGCTGGCAGAGAAAGAAAAATGGTAATAAAGGCTCATCCTTTTCTCATTCCTTTTTAAAACGTTAATTCACGAAATTAGGGTTTTCATTGCTTTTAATTTTTAATTCCAAACCATAAGATAAAGAAGAAACAGACCGACCAAAAAAAAAACCCAGCCAGCAGCGCCAACATCCTCTCCTATCAAACAACACCATGTTGAATAGTTCGTAAATGTTTAACATCCCACATCAAGAAAGTATGAAAATTTAAAAGGTGTTTATAAAGGCTTATTTTTTTATCAATAAGTGATTAAGTAAAGTGAAACCCAAGGTATATTGGGTTTTACTCCTTTATATATAGTCAAAAGATGAGTATTTGGGCACTTTTATTTTATTAATTTTCTGATTTTTTATTTTATTTTATTAAATTAAAATTTGGAAAGACATATTTGAAAATTGAACATAACTTTTGACAGTCAAAAGATACCTCTATGAAATTATTTCTTTCTGGAGGAATACATCCATATAAATGGTGACTTTTCAAGCAATATAAATTATTATGCAAAATTAGAGTTCTACATATAATTTCTGAGAAAGTTTTGAGTTCCGTTGTATCCTAAAAAATTTTAAATCCTCAAGAAAAGACACCTCAGAACCATTCCTTTTATTCTTCTATTTTTTTCGGCTTAATGTAATAAATCGTCTATTAACTATCACCTTTTTTTCATTTTAGTCTAAATACTTTATTTTCTTTCAAACTCATCTATTAACTTTTAAAATTATTTCGTTCTCGTCTACTCCACACAACACTGTTAACCATCTGTTAGCCACCGTTAACCACCATTAACCATATTGATGGAAGTTTATGTTTTAAATTGCGTGGCGCCATATAAGCTACTGTGTGACATAAGCAAAATATTGACCTAAAAAATGAGGAAAATTCTCGCTTCTTAAGGTTAAATGTTTTAATATAAAAAAATAGTGATATAATGATAATTTTTTGTATAATTTTTATATATTATTAAATAAATATGGTTAAATGCTAAATTTGGTCCTTCAACTTTAGTGAGTTGCACATTTTTGGTCCCTCAACAATTTTTTGCACTTTTTTGATCTCTCAACTATACAAAATGCACTCCATTAATCCTTTTGTCAATTTGGGCCGTTAACTCGGCCACATGGCATTTTTTATATTTTTTTTGATGACATGGTGAGCACAACTTAAAAGGATATTGATCTGGAATTTTTTTTTTTATGACATGCCATCTTCTTCATGCCAAAGCCCCTCCAATGGATCCTAGTTGCTTGCAAACTGGTCTCTCATCTTCACCCTCTGCAAAATCGATCTTAACCCATTTCTTCTTATTCTCTGAATGCTCTCTCATTTCCACTCCATCTGCAAAATCGGTCTTAACCCATTTCTTCTTCTTCTGTGAATGCTCTCTTATCTCCACTCCATCTACAAAACCAATCTTAATCCACCCATTTCTTCTTCTTCTCTTTTCTTGGGAGAACTTGAGCTACTAGGTTTCATTGAAACCCCAAACCAGATCTTATCAAAATCAAATTAACCCTTCAATAAACAATACCAATCAAACTCTAATCGAATTCCAACAAAAATACAATCAAACTTTAATCAAATTCCAACAAAAATGCAATCAAATTATAAATCAACCCCCAAATTTATTAACAACTGGGAGTGAAAATCGAAAGAAGAATGAAAAAACATCGGTGGAAACCCAGCCTGGTTGGGTTCGTCGAAACCCAAATCTACTGGGTTCCAATGAACCTAGCCTTGGCTGGTCGACGAACCTAGCCTTGGCTGGTCGACGAACCCAGCAAGGCTGGGTTTCCACTGAACCCAGCCTA